CCCTTTTTCTCCCTCTTCCACCCCGTTCACCCCTTTTCCTCCCTTTCCTCCTCCTTTTCCTTTTCTCCTCTCCTTTTCTTCCCTCCCTTTCCTCATTTTTCCCTCCCTTTTCTCCCCCTCTTTTTTCTCCTCCGTTTTTCTCCCCTTTCTCCTTTTGGATTTTTTCTTCCCCCCTTTCTTTTCCTCTTTTTTAACCCCCTCTCCTTTTCCTCTTCCCCCCCCTTCCTCTTTTATTTCCCCCTCTCCTTTTCCTTTTATTTTCCCTCTCCTTTTCCTATATTTTCCCTTCTCCTTTCCCTCTTTCCCCCCCCCCTCTCCTTTTTCTCTTATATTTTCCCTCCTTTTCCTCTTTTTTCACCCCTCTCCTTCTCCCTTCCCCCCCCCCTGTTCTTTTCCTCTTATACTTTCCCCTCTCCTTTCCCTCTTTCCCCTCTCTTTTATTTTTCCCTCTCCTTTCCCTCTTATACTTTCCCCTCTCCTTTCCCTCTTTCCCCCCTCCTTTTCCTTTTATATCTTCCCTTCTCCTTTTCCTCTTATACTTTCCCCTCTCCTTTCCTTCTTCCCCCCTCTCCTTTTCCTTCCCCCCCTCTTTTCCTTTTCCCCCCCTCTCTTCTTTTCCTCTCCTTTATTTTTCCCTCTCCCTTTTCTCCTCCCCCCCCCAACCTTTCCCATGGTTTAAATACAAATACCTCATTAAATTTACAAATGCTATTTACAGGTTTAATTACAAAAAAAAAAAGAGAGAAAAAGAGAGACACCTTAGACGTTAATAAATCTAAAAATAAAAAATATATAATAAAACACCCCTCCCCCCCACCCCCCCCTCAAAAAAAATAATGATAATTCAAGCTGAAGGGCAGCAGCTGGGCTTGGGGTTTGGGGTGGGGGGGTCACACCGTGGTCTCGCCCTGCTTGCTGTTGGTGAGTCGCGTGTAGAACTTCCTCCAGGAGTGGAGGGTTTTCCCTGACCATATCCAAAAGCCGGAGGTGATGCCCACGATGAGAGTCATGAGATACTTGATCATGTAGACGGTGAAGTCGGGGGTCATGCGGGGGGTGAAGTGGAGCGGGCAGGGGATGGCCAAGCTCTTGCAGTTCTGGCTGATCCAGCTGCGTTCCCAGTGCTCGCGGAACGCCTGCTCGTAGAAGTAACAGGCGATGACGATGGTGGCCGGGACGGTGTAGAGGACACTGAAGACCCCGATACGAACCATCAGCCTCTCCAGCTTCTCCGTTTTGGTCCCGCCGTGTTTCATGATGGTGCGGATGCGGAAGAGGGAGACGAAGCCGGCCAGGAGGAAGGAGGTACCGATGAAGAGGTAGACAAAGAGAGGGGCCAACACGAAGCCCCGGAGAGGGTCGATGTTGTTGAGGCCCACGAAGCAGACGCCGCTCAGGAGGTCCCCGTCAATCTGCCCCATGGCCAGGATGGTGATGGTCTTGACGGCCGGCACGGCCCAGGCGGCCAAATGGAAGTACTGGGAGTTGGCCTCGATGGCCTCATGGCCCCACTTCATGCCAGCGGCCAGGAACCAAGTGAGGGAGAGGATGACCCACCAGATCGAGCTGGCCATGCTGAAGAAGTAGAGCATCATGAAGAGGATGGTGCAACCTTCCTTCTTGGTGCCCTGCACCACAGTGCGGTAGCCGTCCTCCTGGAAGCGCTCGTTGCAGACCACCCGCTCCTCCAGCACGAAGCCCGCGATGTAGGCCACGGACACCATGGTGTAGCACCCCGAGAGGAAGATGATGGGTCGCTCGGGGTAGCGGAAACGCTGCATGTCCACCAGGTAAGTGGTGACCGTGAAGAAGGTGGAGGCACAACACAAGACGGACCAGATGAGGATCCAGATCCGAGCAAAACGGATCTCGTCCTCGTTGAAGAACATGTGGCCGTCGGGACGGGTGGGCTCGCAGGGCGCCGCACAGTCCTTCTCACCCAAGAACTTATAGTTGAGGTAGCTGGGCACCTTCAGTGCCCGCGGGCAGTGGAAGGGGTGGTCGAGGGTGGCGTAGCGAGGGGCGCCCGGCGTGCCCTGCCCGGCCAGCGGGGTGGCACTGGTGAGCAAGGCCGGCGAGCCGCCATCTTCCGAGTGGTTCTGCCCCACGCAGATCTGCTCGGCGCCGTGCCGGGGGAAGTTCTCGCAGCGCAGCCTCTCGGGCCACTGGAACCCAAACTTATTCATCAGGGCTTCGCAGCCCTGGCGCGCCCGCTCGCAGATGGAGCGGCACGGTGGGATGGCCTGTTCCAGCACCGTGCACACCGGGGCGTACATGGAGCACAGGAAGAACTTGAGCTCCAGCGAGCACTGAACCTTCACCAAGGGGTAAAACTGGTGAACCTCCAAGCCCGCGTCCTCCTGGTTGGTGTGACCCAGCAGGTTGGGCATGATGGTCTGGTTGTAGGCGATGTCGGTGCAGAGCGGGATGGAGATGGGCTGGCAGAAGCCGTGGTCGGGGATGGAGATGCCCTTCTCCCCGTGCAGCTGCCCCCGGGACGGCGCCGGCGCGCCCAGCGCCGCCAGCAGCCAGGCCACGGCGGGCA